TTTTAAAGAAAAAATGAGTACACAATTTAATAAAAGACACAAGACAAGTAGTTGCCCATCAAAAGGAAAATTTAGACACAGCTCTAAATAAATATATAAATATAATAATAATAAAAAATACATACTAATATCCGTCAAATCAGTCATTATATTATTAGCAAATTGACATTTATGCCATAAATGCTGTCTGTATAGCTTTGTTTGTATTAAAGCGGTAACTTTCCTTTAAACACAATCACACTCGCTCTCTAATAGTCTGTTATGAAGTGTATTTTTGCCTGCTGACGTGCACATATGCGTCATACTTCCCAGTACATTTAGTTTCTTTTGTTACTTTTTAATTTTTTGCTTTTTTTGTTTATTCCCCGCATTCCACCCCTGCTTTGTGCTTTTTTTTTTTGTTTTGTTTTTTTTACTGCCCACATAATCTTTCTTTCTCTCATGCACTCAGTCCTGTGCCTGTAGGGTGGCTGGTCACTTATTGCTCATAATTGGTGGCTGTCAGCTGTAGCATGTATGTGTGTTTGTCAGGGTTTGACAGGCCAGCTGTGTGACTGTGTGTTGAATGCATGTGTCAGGGTTTGACAGGCCAGCTGTGTGACTGTGTTGAATGCATGACCCTCATTGTGTGCAAAAGCAAGAAATAAAAAAATACAAAAAAGCATGCTGTTTTTTTCGCTCCTCACAGCATATGGGCACCTTATGGTTTCCAGCAGGTAGAACATAGTTTGTCATTTAATATTTCATATCTCGTATCTGTCATTTCTCATTTCAATTAGCTTCTGAACTTGGCAAAGAGTCAGATTAAATTAATCTGTGCAACAGATTGTGTTTTACTGGTCAGCATGAATGTGCAATGACAAAATTATCAATATAATGGCCTCAGGCTCCTCTTTAGAAGATTTAAATTTCTAATGTTTTTAATAGCCTTTTATTTTTTTTATTTTTGCCATCTAGAACGTGATATTTCCTGGAGCCGGTGATGAAGGTATTCTGGAGTACAAATCGGTCATTTACTACCAGGTCAAACAGCCACGCTGGTTTGAAACCATCAAGGTGAACATCACTTACACAGTGTCAGATGTAATGTCTACTACATTAAGCGGAGAGTCATTTATATTACTTGCCAAAGTAGAGGCGTAATACTCAGGACAAATGTATTCTGGGAAAGTTTAGGTGTGCAATTTCTTCCAAAGTCCATATTTTATTTTATTTTGTTTTGTTTTGCTTTTACCTTTACTTTACTTTACTTTACTTTAATTCTGACACTACAAATTTTTTAGGTATCTGAAAACCAACACTCATAAAATGTAATTTAATTTTATTTACAACAACTTTTATTTTATTTTATTTTATTATTTAATTTAATTTAATTTTATAACCAACAACTTTTTTATTTTATTTTATTTTATTTTATTTTGTTTTATGTTAATATTGGAATTTTTTTCCAATATTGGAATACCATATGTGACCCTGGATCACAAAACCAGTCTTAAGTCGCTGGGGGATATTTGTAGCAATAGCCAAAAATACATTGTATGGGTCAAAATTATAGATTTTTCTTTTATGCCAAAAATCATTAGGATATTAAGTAAAGATCATGTTCCATGAATATATTTTGTAAATGTCCTACTGTAAATATATCAAAACTTAATTTTTGATTAAGAAAAGCATTGCTAAGAACTTAATTTGGACAACTTTAAAGGTGATTTTCTCAGTATTTAGATTTTTTTGCACCCTCAGATTCCAGATTTTCAAATAGTTGTCTCTCGGCCAAATATTGTCCTATCCTAACAAACCATACATCAATGCTTATTTATTCAGCTTTCAGATGATGTATAAATCTCAATTTCGAAAAATTGACACTTAAGACTGGTTTTGTGGTCCAGGGTCACATATATTAACATTAAACAATAATCAAGCCTCAAAGGGCAAAAATGCATGATTTGACCCTTTTAAATATTTCAAATCCTAAAAGAGGGTTACACGGTTGAAACTGTTTAAACAATTTAAATAAGAATAAAGTTCAGCGTAAAGATCACAAGGACTGCACCCTGTGTCTATTTGGATCCATATTGGTCTTTTATTAATATTCAAGACCTTTAAGGTGTTTTCTAGTCTTAGATTCTTTCTATCTGCATTAACTTAATCTTTTTTGTGATATCCTATGTTGCAGGTTGCGATCCCGATTGAAGACGTCAACAGGAGTCACCTGCGGTTCACATTCAAGCACCGATCGTCTCAGGACTGTGAGTTGAGCACACGCTCACACAGGAGAGCACTTTCAGAGCTGTTTAACCCAGCAGTGGTCTGGAAACTCACTCTAGTAAACTTTAAGTGTTTTTGAGGTCACAGCATGTGTGAGACAGAAGCACATTTCACTGGTGCTGTCATGCTTCACACCTCTTTAAATAATATCAAGTGTTCTTTATCTTTGTATCTCAGTGGGTTATCAAAATAACTTTAGACTATTACAGAGTCATTTGCATCTGAATGAGTTTGCAGTTATTGAATAGACTGTTAAGTGTGCATTAGTGGTGCTTGGTTTTACTGTTGCTCATACATAGGGTTAGATATTTGAAGAAACAATTTGATACACAGCTCATCACTTACCATTTGTGCTACAGACATGGAATTATACCTCAAATCATCCTAGCAACCACTCAGAATTCCCTAGCAATGCACAAGAAACTTTATGAACACATTAGCAACTGCTTAGGAACACCCTGACAACCACCCCGAATGCCAAAGCAAAAATTATTTGTATTTTATTTTATTTTATATTTTATTTGATCTTTTATGTTAATATTGGGATTTTCACTAACTTTAGTGTATTTTGTCACTAAAATATCATATATTAACATTAAATACCATTATTTTAACATTAAAACACAATCAAACCTCCAAGGAAAGAATGCATGGTTTGAATATTTTATTTTTTATTTTATTTTTATATGTTATGTTATGTTATGTTATGCTCACTACTGCTCAGAAGTTTGGGATCCACTCCATTACAGTCAGAATTCTGGCTGACTGCTTATTCTTCAAATATTGCTGACACATTTTGGAAGAGTGTTTTGGGTCATTATCCTGTTGTAGGATGAAATTGGCACCAGTCAAGTGCGGTCCACAGGGTATGGCATGGCGTTGCAAAATCTTGTGATAGCTTTCCTTCCTCAAGGTTCCTTCCACTCTGTACAAATCTCCTATTTTACCACCTCCAAAGCACCTCCAAACCATCCCGCTGCCTCCACCATGCTTGACTGAAGGTATTAAGCACTGTTCTAGCATCTTTTCATTTGTTCTGCGTCTCACAAATGTTCTTCTGTTTGATCAGAAGACCTCAAACTTGGACTCATCTGTCCACAACACCTTCTTCCAGTTTTTCAGTTTCCAATGTCTGTGCTCTTTTGCCCTTCTCAGTCTTTTGTTTTTATTGGCCAGTCTGAGATACAGCTCTTTCTTTGCAATTCTGCCATGGAGTCCAGCATCCTGAAGTCGGCTCTTCACTGTTGATGCTGACACTGGTGTTTGACGGGTACTATTTAGTGCAGCTGCCAGTTGAGGACCTGTGAGGCGTATTTGTCTTAAACTACACACTCTCAGATATTTGTCTTCTTGCACAGTTGTGCATCGGGGCCTCCCACTCCTTTTTCTGTGCCTGTTAGAGCCAGTTTGTGCTGCTCTCTGAAGGGAGTAGTTTACAGCATGATAAGAAATTTTAAGTTTCCTCGCAATTTCTCGCATCGAGTAGCCTTCCTTTCTAAGGACAACAATAGGCTGACGGGTCTCTAATGAAAGTTCTTTTTTTCTGGCCATTTTGAGCCTGTAAACAAACTAAACAAACTACACTGAACAAAATTATGAACGCAACACTTTTGTTTTTGCCCCCATTTTTCATGAGCTGAACTCAAAGATCTAAGACTTTTTCTATGTACACAAAAGGCCTATTTATCTCAAATATTGTTTACAAATCTGTCTAAATCTGTGTTAGTGAGCACTTCTCCTTTGCCGAGATAATCCATCCACCTCACAGGTGTGGCATATCAAGATGCTGATTAGACAGCATGATTATTGCACAGGTGTGCCTTAGGCTGACCACAATAAGAGGCCACTCTAACATGTGCAGTTTTACTGTATTGGGGGGTCCGAAAACCAGTCAGTATCTGGTGTGATCACCGTTTGCCTCACGCAGTGCAACACATCTCCTTCGCATAAAACTGCACATTTTAGAGTGGCCTTTTATTGTGACCAGCCTAAGGCACACCTGTGCAATACATAGAAAAAGTCTTAGATCTTTGAGTTCAGCTCATGAAAAATGGGGGCAAAAACAAAAGTGTTGCGTTTATAATTTTGTTCAGTGTAAGATACTAAACTAACCTAAAGAATGCCATGCTCCCTTGTTTGCTCCATTAGTTCAACGGTTCTCAGCTGTGCAACACAATTGCAAAAGGGTTTTCTCATAATCAGTTAGCCTTATAAAATGATTAACTTCAAGGAGATTGATGCAGAGGACTGACAATTGCTAATAATAGGCCTCTATGCAAAAATGTAGATCATTCTTTAAAAGTCATCTGATTAATTTTAATTGTTTGTGAAATGAATAAAATTGTTTGTGAATTGCATGAAAATGTGTTTTTCTTTGGAAAACAAATACATTTGCAAGTGATCCCAAACTTTTGAGCGGTAGTGTATCTGAAAACAATGCACACAACTTTTATTTCATTTTATTTGTTTTTTGTAAATATTATATTTTTTATTTATTTTTTGTCTTAGTTTATTTTTGTTGTATTTTTTTAATTTAGTTTTTTTTTATAAACAATGCTAATTATTTTAGGTATCTGAAAACCAATATGCATAATATTTAATTTAGTTTGTTTCATTTTTTTTTTGTACTTTTATTTGTTTTATTTTATAACCAATACTAAATATTTTATGTATCTGAACATTTTAATTGGGGAATATTCTGTTTTTGGAAGACTAGTATTACACATAATATACACAATCATTTATTTAACCCATTATACTGGCAGTATACACTCATCCAAGGCTTATTTAATGTGCAACATACCAGTGCCCAAGCGACCACCCAGAATTCCCTAGCAACCACACAGCAGCACACTGTAATATTTTGAATACCTTAGCAACCACATGAAATGGCATGACAACCACCCAAAACACCTAAGCATTGTGATGAGTTTACCATGAGGAAACCACTCATAACCTATTCAGACAATGTATAACTGGAGTTTATTTTGCAGTTCTGAAGTTGTTTGCTAGCTGTTTGTTTGTGTGTTTTTCTGAGAGGGAGTTTCTGAATCATATTGGCAATGAACGCGGGCGTGTTTGTGAAGCCTGAGAGGTTGTTTATGGGCCAAGAGGCGTCTGGCATTCGGCTGCGGTCATCACACTTAGCCGCGCGTGTTCAACCTTATCCTGGCAGCCGCGCCGCTCCATCTGCCCACCACATGTTGCCGTGGCAGCGCCAGGATGAGAGGGGCAGAGTCTCGTTGTCAGGCTCTGGTTGCCAGGCGCTGGGCGGAGGATGTAAAACAAATCATTTAGCACAAGCAGACAATCTGGAGCAAATAAACGTCTCGTCAGCTGAGCTGAGAATAAACGCTATGACAGTATCAAAGTTTCACACACCGGCTGCCTATCTCAGCACAGTTGTTGTCTAGAAAGTGCTGAAGTGTCACATTTTTAAACAAGCTGTCATTTTGAAGTTTGTTTTTGTGGATGCAACAATACAGTTAGCCCACAGTTCAATACATTGAAATTTTAACCACAGTTTTTGGTTTGGAGCAGGTTATGTTCAGTGAATAAGTTGCTCTAGCTACTTCCATACCCTGAAAGTTAGCTCCGCTTTTGGAACCGGATGCTGAGTTTATCCGCTTACTTACCCTTAAACATACCCAGGTATGGCACACAACCTGCTTTCTGGAATACCCCCAGATCGCAAAAGGAAGTTATTTCACTAAGTTCAGTAAGTTAGCTAGTTTGTGGTCAGTAAGATTTTTTTTTCTTTAAAAGAAATTAATACTTTAAGCAAGGACTTAAAGGTATTAAAGGAATATATCATATTACAGAATATTTTAATTTCAAATAAATGCTGTTCTTTTATACTTTCGTTTTATTTTTATTAAATAAATGCAGCTTCGGTGACCATAAGAGACCATAAGAAACAGAAAACTTAGAGATCTCCAATGTCACCTGACCCTCAAAATGCTGACATTTAAATTCAGATTAAGTTAATTCCAGATTTTATTAAAATTAAAATTTATTTCAGTGCAGTTCAAATGTGGTCACCCATGCTTTGAAACATTGACCAAAAAGTAATAAAATAAAAATAAATAAAATGAATATTAAATAAGTAAGTTATGTGTATTGGTTTTTGGATACCTAAAATAATTAGTATTGGTTAAAATAAAATAAAATACTATTAAAAATAAATTGTATTTTTTTATTTGCTGGTATTTGCTGGTATTTGTTTTAGATTCAGTTCAGGTCAGATTCAGATCAGTTCAGATTCAGTTCTTTTATGTTCATATTTAGTTCAGTTCAAAGGGGTTTCCATATTCATTTGTGTTTTGAAACACTGACATTGAGTTCAGATTAAGTTCTGTTCAGTTTGTAAGGATCTCTGTGGGCGTCTGAGCTTACACCGGCATTTAAATCCTTTTTCTTGTTCTGTTTGATGCTGACAGGCAGTCAGATGTCAGGGAGAATCAGTTGTAGGGATCTTCATCACTGTCGTACTCCACATGTCTGCCTGTCTGTCTTTCTCTTACGGATTTAATTCTGAATGTAAAAACAGAGCAGTAAACATCAACTCCTCCTGATTGAATCTGCCTGCTTCCGTCAGAATCTTTCTGCAGTATAAGGACCTGCTTCCCTCATGTTCCCTTTGTCCTGGTACCGCAGTGATGAGGATGATGATGATGGTGGTGGTGGTGGTCGTCTCCTGACCTCTCCACCTCTCTGACTCTCTGTCAGCAGGTGCTGCATTGGCAGCGTTGAGTTCAGAGATTTAGATGTTTGTGTGGGACTTCATAGGCTGGTGTTGACATTCCCAGTTGGGATGAAGTTCCTCAGGGATGTATTTTTTATGTCAGATTCAGACAGACACTGCTGTAGATCTTGATGAAGCACACGGGCTCTCAGAGCTGCTGTCTGACTGAAATATGACACAGCTGGTTCAAGACGCTCTGATCGAGACCAGTGTGATTGTGTTTGATACAACTGTCGATGTTATGAGAAGAGTAAAAGTACAAAGTCAAAGTAAGCAGATTCAATTAATATTATTAGAATTATTATTTTACAATTTTTTAAGTATTAATCATTCATGTAAATAAATAAATGTATATGTAATTGTATAATTATAAATAATTAAATAAAAATAAAATAATTGAAATCAAATATATAAAATAAATTCATATACTTTGTATTACATGTATACATTTAAAAAAATAAATATAATCAAAATATACATGCATATACTTTACATATTAAATTTTATATATAATTAAATTATTCCATAAATAATTAAAATAATGTAATTAACAGATAGCATATATATATATATATATATATAAAAATATAGACTTAATTTAGATATTTAAATATATATATATAATTATATAATTATAAAGAATTAAATGTTTAATTAAAATAAAGATACTGTATAAATGTATTATATACTTTTATACTGTTGTTTACTTTGAAATGTAGATAATATATAAAGATTAAAATATTTTACGAAAAATATTATATATAAATATATTTGGCTTACATACATTTAGATATTTAAAATAATTTTAATAGTAAAAATAAAAGTCTTCGCTGTTTAACGGTCCTCTTCCACTTCCTTCCATGGTCTCAATTAATTTTAGATTCAGTTGCAGTTCAGATTCATATCCAGTCTTAGTTCAGTTCAGATTCAAAACAGTTTTTGGTTATTTTATTGGCATGACTCTCTTTTCAATGCATTGAAAGAACAAAAGAACATTATAAAGAGGTCAACTATTAACAATTATGAATAATAAATATGCAATATCCCTTCTCTACAGGCAAGGATAAATCAGAGAAGAACTTTGCTCTGACATTTGTGAAGCTGATGAGGTACGACGGCACGACGCTGAGAGATGGAGAACACGATCTCATCGTCTATAAGGTGAAACCAACACAATTGCCAGTGATCTCAAAGCACACACACACACACACACACACACACACGCACACACAGATATGCGAGTTGTGTACTGATGCTGCTTGTCCTTGTTTGTCCCATTTAACCTATGACCCCACATCACAATGTAATCATTATGCAATTAAGCTTTGTTCGTGTATTCATTCTTTTCTTATCTGCATATGAAAGAGCTTCATTAATGCAGAACGTTGCCTGGTCAAGTCCTTTTTGAGCAATGCAAATTCATCTTCGTACAAATCATCGCTTTATAACTGATCTGATGTTGGTTTTACTGCTTGTGCAAAACTGGCTCTGAAAAAGTCAAATCAAATGTATTTAAAAATGCAACATTAAAGACGATTTTAATTTTAACAAGCATTAAGAATGTGTTCACTGATTGACAGCTGTCAGTCTCTGAATGCATCCTTCAGTCTCATGCAAACAGGTGTTGTTCTCACTATGTGTGTTTCTCTATTTGTAGGCCGAAGCCAAGAAACTGGAGGACTCCACCATGTACCTGAGCTTGGCCTCCACCAAACCAGAGATGGAGGAAAGAAATCCGTCGTCCGGGAAGAACACGCAGAATCTCGGCAGCTTCTCCATCAGCAAAGACTCGTTTCAGATCTCGACGCTTGTTTGCTCCACCAAACTCACGCAGAACGGTGAGACACGTCCACTTGCATCATTTCCCAATCCCATCATGTCCTCTCGTTCCTCTGTTCTTCTGTAAGTAAAAGTGGCCACAAAAAGAATAAATAGGGCTGACAAGTCAGTGTTTGCAACCAGTTTCCTGCAGTAATGTGACGTATTTCAGACTGAAACTAGATTTTTCACTTTATCCAAGAATTGATCACATTTTGAAAAGTAGTTTCTGTATGAAGTAGTTGAAAAGTAAGAGCTTGCTAATGTCAACCAATGTTATTTTAGTATCTTTGAGATGCTATTATAATTTGAATTAGGTTTTATTTTTATACATCCTGTTTTCATTTTAATTTGTTTTTCTCATTTTTATTAGTTTTAATAGTTTTAACGTCTGTGTAGTTTTAATTAATTTTAATAATTAAAAAATGTAATTCATCAAGTTAACATAAATGTTAAACTAGCTTCAATAAAATGTTTATTTTTCTATTTGATTAAAAAAAATCATTTAACATTTATTTTATTTCAAGTAACAATTTGAAATTTTTTAATGGTTTTAGTTTTAGCAAACTAGTAGTTTTAGGAGTTTTAGTTTTGGTAGTTTTACATTTTTATAAAGATTTTCAGTTGGAATAACAAGCATAAGGATTGTTCGACCAGGAACGTCTAGTATTTTTTATATATTTTTTTTAAATGGCTAGTATAGTTTTTATCGATTGTTATTTCAGTTTTGACAAATGGCAACTAGCTGAAATAACTAGCTGGAAGAAAATGTTACATTTTTTTATTTGATTTTATATCAGTTAACATTTATTTTATTTCAAGTTAATACATTTTATTTATTTATTTATATTTAAATGGTTTAAGTTTTAGTAAACAAGTATTTTTAAATTGTTTTCTTAACATTTTGATAAAGATTACAAAAAAATATATTTAAATTTGGAATAACAAACACCAGGATAGTATGACCAGGAATGTCTAGTAAGGCTTTTTTTTATTGTCTGTATAATTTTTATTAAATTGAATTTGTTATTTTTAGGATTTTTTTAATTACATTTGATTTAAGTTCAACTACTTAAAAATGAGAAATGTTGTGTTGGCAACTTGCTGAAAAAAAAGAAGTTTAAATTTAAAATTTTTCAGTTAACATTTCAAGTGACAAATTATTATCTTTAGTAAACTAGTAGTTCTTAGTAGTTTTAGTTTTGGTAAACAAAGTAAGCACATTTTGATAAAAATGACAAAAACAGTATTTTCATTTGGAATAACAAGCATCGGGATTGAACGATCAGAAATGTCTAGTAAGCAAGTAAATAGTCCGTTTTGATTGACGGCATCTGTATGTTTTGTGTGAGATGTTGTGTCCGGTTGGCAGCTGTGAGGAAGTGCAGATGCGGGAAGAACATTACAGTCGGATCACATACAGGATGCAGTGAAGTCCACCGAAGTCCTGACGCAATCTCTCCTTTACCCCCTCCTCTCCTCTTTAAGCATGTGTGTGTTGCTCTATGAATCTCACAGAAACTGCTTACCCATCAGCCTTTGGTCATGGTGTAGTGGCAGGCATGAGTATGTACGGTGGACGGCTTCATGACTGGAGAGTCCTGCGGTCGTAGATCTGAGGAGAGGGTTTCAAATACTGCGGGAACATAAAGTCAGATGTAGATCGCAGGGGGAATGTACAGTCATCCAAGCATAGGACAATGAAAATATATGATAACAAATAAAAGACAGAAATGAACCAGTGTTTCTTTTATCGATTAGTCCACAGCGCCATAGCAAACAAAATTGCATTGCATCTGAGTCGTGAGCCTGCAGACTAAATTGATTGCAAAGAAAATAATTCTGTGATGTTCATATGACAATGTGTATTTGTGAGCATCCTGATCGCCTGATACAACAACATTAGCATATGTTTGGGGGCGGGGCTACGTGTTTATCCAACCAATGACAGACAGAGGGAGTGTCAGGAAACTTGAAATCAGTTATTAGTTTTGCATAGCCTCCAACTCTCACACTGGCGAGTAAAATCTAAGAATTTATTAGCCAATGGCTAATGTTAGACATCATTTAGTCACCCAGAGTGAAGATGTAGTTGCCTACAGTATGCGAGTGATTTACTCTCATTGTAGAGGGTTGCTGTCTGTGTGAGTCAGTCAGGGTCACACGAGCAGAATGCAGAGCAGCTGAGCGTTAGTGATGCCGGTGTTGTGCCCAATTCTGACCCCCCGCCAGATAATTACCCTCCTAGTATTGGTAGGTTTAGGAGTCAGTGTGGGGGAGGAGTTAGGATTATGCAATCAGGAAGCAACTTCAACGAGGGGGGTAATAATTTGGCAGGGGGTTGAAATTGGACACACCACCGGAAATTAAGATGGAGATGCATGAAGTCACATCAGAGAGCGTGCTGGCCTTGCCACTGCAACGATGAAGACAAAATAGCCTTGGTTAGTAGTTAGCATTTGTGCTTTAGACCAGAGCAGGTCTGAAGACGAGACGGACCACTGGGTGAAAAATTAATAAGAGAACGTGCAGTGTTCATTACGAACGCTTTTTGATGTCCTGTGTACGACTGGAACAGTCCCCATTTTACAGCACCTTCAAAAGATCTCGTAAATAAACCAGATATCATTGAGATACTATTATAGTTTTTAGTAAAGTTAAAATTAAAGTTTTGATTATATTTGAGGTTTTGTTTTTAGATTTATATTGTTCAGTTGCTAATTTTCATTTTTACTTTAGTGAAAGGTTTAGGAATTTTGTTTGTGCCTTTTTTTTGTATGTCTGTGTAGTTTTTAATTTATTTCAGTTTTAGTGTTAGTGTTATATTTTAGGTTTATTATATTTAGTGTTATTTTAGTACAAAATAAACTAAATGAAAATGAGAAATTCTTTGGAAACTAGCTGGAATAAAATGTTTAATTAAAAAACTTATTTAAATAATAATAAAAAAAAACACTCAGGGATGCAAACTCATCATGGACGAAAAATTATGACAAAGATGAGCCTAAAATTTGATATTTAATTTGCCTTTTTAACATTTGAATAGTTAAAAAGTTGTACTTAATGTATACAATATATTTGCAGTTTGTGAAAATGAAAACATGACATATAGAAAATATAAAAAATATTTGTTTAACAAATGTTTATTTCTTATGTTCTCATCAGGGTTATTATAGTTAACTAAAATGAAAACTGTAAAAGGTTACTTGAAATAAACTGAAATAAATTATAAAACACTATAGATATATAAAAAAATAAAAAAATAAATAAAAATAAAAGTAATACAAATATCAAAAACACAACAAAATTACTAAAACTTTAGCTTAAAAAAATAAATAAAAATATTATCCTTTTTTTTTTAATCCATTGTTAATTACAAGTGAGATTTTAATGATATTTTATTCACTGAACTAGGAAATGTGCCCGGTTTTCATTTCAGAAATCTGGTCACATCCTCCTTTTCAAGGACGTGTCCCATTCCCAGACTCTCTTCTGTTCCTGTCTCTAATAAGTGTTGAGAAATAAGTGCGATATCATTAAACTCAGCTTGTGCTTCAGAGACACTTTGAGACACTCCAACCTGGAGCTCGCAAACACTTCATTGCCGTCAGAATGCCAAGATGTTTTCTGCTCTAATTTCAAGTGGCGTCAAGCATCGTTAGGCCTCGCTCCGTGCGGTGTGCGTGTGCGATCTGAGCGGTTGAAAGTCCATCTTTATCCCCGCCGGACAACAGCTTAATTCCCCTCACATCACATGTTATGAGGCCGGCCGTGCTTGTGAATTGATTATAGAGGTGACCTGCGTGACTATTAGCATGTGGTTTTACGTGAACCCTGAGCCACGGGCAATTCAGACGCTGCTTTAATGAAGACCTTTGTCAAAAATCAGCATTTGGCAGGTAGCAGCTGCAGTAATGAGGTCGCTGAGGATTCCTCAGATTGAGGCATTAGCATATAAACACAGGTTTTTATTGTGTACGCCGTTTTTTTCCGCTGCGAGACCTTGTCCATCAATGCCAGTGTGTTTTCTGTCGTGAAAGTAAAATAGAGGCTCTTTATCGCACACAAACATTAGCATATTGAGCTGTGGATCCCCGCTGTTCCTCTACACCAACTATTTCTGGTTTCTGTGTCAGAAACGCAGGTAGAAATCGATGCGACATGCAGGAGCGCTGTTTATGACTCAGGTTTTGTTTAGATATTTAATTTTTGCATCCTGTTTTGTGAAGCACATTTCCCGGATGATCAAGCGCCTCTCGACCAATAGGACCAAGGGATGAGCCGTTTTTAATAAAGAATGACAGCGCCGTTCTCCTCACTCGTTGCCTGACAGCTCTTTCTGTCTCTCTGACGTGGTTTTTATTAAACCCACAGGCTGGGCTTGTAAGTGTCGGGATCTTTAACTCTGAATCGTCTCTCCCACACAGCCACACTTCCTGCTGATGTGATATGATGAAGTGAAATCACAGCCTTCGCTCTTCTTCTGATCACATCCTCTGCCTTAGTTATGTATTATGCAGCTCTCTGGAATACTTGATTTTGATTGGTCAGTCATGGCATTTTATTTTTGTTTCATTAATGTTTAACCACATAATTGATCAGGCAACAGTAAGTGTCAGGGTCCTGATCACGTGTTGGGGTATATTTTGCGAGTACTACTGGTTGACTGGACATTTTGTCTTGGCCAAATAACATTAAGTTAGTTCAGTGCATGGTTTCTTTTTGATTCGTTTAAATAATTTCAAAAATGTTAGTAGATTTGCATAAAGGTTATGTAATTCTATTGATTGTTCAAATCTAAAATTATTTACAGCACAATCTACAAATAATGTTAAATATTCGTCACCCTTGGTAAATATGATCAAAGAAGGCTGTGAAAATTAATCTGCATTGTTAATCCTTTTGATCTTTTAGGTCAAAAAAGCCTTTCATTGGATAGTAAGAATTTAAAATGGGGGGGAAATATCATTATGACATAAATGTTTTCTCTAATACACATTGGTCACAATTAATGGCACCCTTTTATTCGATTCTTTTTGAAACCTCCATTTGCCAGTTTAACAGCTCTAAATTGTCTCCTATCTAAAATTATTTACAGCACAATCTACAAATAATGTTAAATATAAATATTGTGTGTGTATACATAATACATCTAAATTATAAACTTATAAAAAGCTATTATTGTTCATATTATTATTATTATTATTATATATTATTTATATATTTATATATTTATATGTAACATTATAATTATGATTATAATTCAGAGACAATTCCTTCATCCAGAATCTCTCCAGACCCTTCAGATTCCCAGCTCCATGATGGTGCTTCTCCTCTTCAGTTCACCACACTCATTTTCTGTAGGGTTCAGACACGAATGTTTCATGTCCAGGATGGAGAGGTGAATGTGCTAATGCGGTTTTTCTCTGCTCTCCTGTAGTTGATCTCCTGGGGCTGCTGAAGTGGAGGTCCAACACCAGTTTGCTCCAGCAGAACCTCTGTCACCTGATGAAAGTGGAAGGAGGCGAGGTGGTCAAGGTACGTGTGAATCTTCTGACGGACAGAAACACAAACTTGCAGCTTTCATTCAGACCTCCGTTTGGATTCATGCAGACATTCATGCTGCTAATGTAAACGTTTGAAGTTGGTGTGGAGACTTGCGCTTTGATTTATGATACGAAATTGTGAATGAACTCTCTGATGCACTTCAAAAGCTTTTTGCTTATTAGGTTTTTTGGAAGGCAACAGCAAAACATGCTGAGATATTTTTAGAAATTGCATTTCTGTAAGTGCTCCAGTACGGTGTATGGTTAGGCCTGTGAAATTATAGAAATGTTCAAAATAAGCTTTTATTATATCTAACTCAAAATAAGCGTTGCAATTTAAACATTCAGAAAATGATTAAATTGTGTTCTCCAGGCTTAAAATAAAATAAAATAAAATGAAATAATAACAAAATTTTTTGGAAGGCAACAGCAAAACATGCTGAGATATTTTTAGAAATTGCATTTCTGTAAGTGCTCCAGTACGGTGTATGGTTAGGCCTGTGAAATTATAGAAATGTTCAAAATAAGCTTTTATTATATCTAACTCAAAATAAGCGTTGCAATTTAAACATTCAGAAAATGATTAAATTGTGTTCTCCAGCCTTAAAATAAAATAAAATAAAATGAAATAATAACAAAAAAAAAAAAAATAATAAAAGTTGTGTGATTTGAACAAATAACTCATACGGACTTTTTTTCATTAATTGGTCAGAAAGTGTCGAGAATCAGTCTCAGTTATCACTTTAAATGATCTCTCTCACTAAATTAGTTAACTCAAGTAATTACTTTCATCATATCTAACTTAAAATAAGCTTGCTAAGGTTTGAAATCGAAATGTTCAGGAAATGTTTCAATTGTTTTCCAGGCCTGGAAGTCAGATTATTGAAAATAAAATTAATTGGAGTAACCAATGAACTGGTTGTATATATAACCAAGTTACTGGTTGTTCATGTAATTAAAAGTACACATTCAGAATCGAGTGATTTTTGTTCTAGTAAATACTGTAATCAGTAAGTTGAATTGGAACCGCAGTCATTGAATGTCTAGTGAGTTCTGTCTGTTGTTGAGCGTTATATTCACATGGCTAATATAATGCAGCATACGATTTAAAAGCCCCTCTGAGATAAGGCCGAGCTCTGTTGATTTCGTTACTTTTCCTTCATGGATCATGTGTTTGAATGCCAGTTTACTCCTGAAAGCGGTGTGTCTCATGCAGTGATTTCTCTGGCCGTGTTTGAAGGCAAACACACTCGAGCTGTCATCACCAAGAGAGAAAGATGGAGGCAGAGACATGTGTGCTGTAAATGTCCCCTCACCTATCTAACAGATCCTGCAGCCTTTCTGTCATGTCTCTGCCACATAAATTTAAAACAGCCAAGCAGAACCATATGGCAGGTGTTTCAGATAGCTGCTGAAGACCTTCACCGCTTTACTTTCTTGATGTATGTAGCAAAACTCTTGCAAACGTTTCAAGTTGACTTGGTAAAACTTAGTACAATACAGTTGGGTTGGTTAACATTAGTTTACTTGTAACTTTTATAAATATACTATTGTACATTAATTAATTAATCAATTAATTATCTTTATTTAATTATTTCCATCCATCCATCCATCCAATTTTTATAAAAGAAAATGTAAAATAAAAAGGAAATAAAATGAAATATAAAATCCAATTTTTATATGAAACATAAAATAAAAGTTCCATTTTAAAATATTTCCAAATTATTTACAATAATTAATTGGAGGAGCCCCGATACAAAATTTATGAGATTTAAATCAACCCAGTCACTGGTTGTTCAGATTATTAGATTGAATTTGTTGTAATAAATACTGTAATCAGTATGTGGAATCGGAACCGTGATCTTTTTACAGTATGTGTAAGTAGTTGTTTTAATTTGGGACAAGGCACAACCACAGATATATTGCAAAATTTCCTCTTACACAAAAACTATTGAAATCTGAGGTGTGTTTAAACATGAAATTTGTCTTTGGGTGGCCTGAAGGAAGCTGTTAATTCAAACAGAATACACACTCACAGGACTACCTACAATTACAGTATGTATATTTCTCTCACGCACACACACACACACACATACACACACACACACACATGGTCACATGGCAGTGCGTCTTTTGGCCAGACCGCACTGTGAATAATTTGGCGCTCACCACCCAGAGCGACAGACACACAGACTTCCCTTAATGTTTCCTGCAGGTGTCCCACTCAACATGATTATGTACTTTCCTCACTCTGTGTACTAAAACACCTTCCTACCACTGCCAAGTTTGGAATTGAATTTCTGCGGACGGCGCAGACGTGCTGCATAAAAGCTGTGAATGTCGTAATAATGCTGCAGAATGGCTTGTGATAGGGGTCTCTTCAGGAATCCGCTCCAGATCACTCACTTCACTATAAACACACTGGAGAAAACATCTGCGGAATGATTCAAGGGCACCGCAACTTTTAAAAGAAGCTTTTACTCCCGGTTTATTTGTTATCTGGCATTTGGAGGATGAAACCTTCTATCAGAACATCTGAGGAGGAACTTGACATGACTTTGGGACAAAATTATTTAATAATACTATAGAAATAATACTTAAAATAATATATAAAATAAATAAGGCTTATAAAATACATATATAATTAAAATATGTTGAATGAATGAAAAAGAAATAAAGTCTGTATATTGTTTTTTAATTATTTTTTTATACTGTATACTAATTTATTTATTTAATTAAGATAAATAAATATTTGTAATTTGTAAATATGTATTTATGAAACATTTGTTATAATTAGTGATAGCATTTGTTATGCAATACAAATTATACGACTTCTTTTCACCACTGAATCATTTACTTTTATTTTAGCTGATTTGTCTGAATTGAATGCGAGAAGGAAAGCCATGAAATAATATAGAAATAATCGACAACATCTTTATATTCCAATGTCCTCAACGTTCATGCCAGAATGAACATAACATAAAGTTCACATTGTACAGTGTGACTCACGAACAAATGATTCTTATGATTCAAATGAATCAAGACTCAAAACAAGACTCAAACTCTCGAACTCGTGAGTTGTTGGTGTGAATCAGTTAAAGCAGTTCTAGAAAATAATAAAATGTTGTCATAAAGCAGTATTGCTTTTTAGTATATTTAAATATTCATTAGATTCTTAAAGAATCATTAACGGAATCAAGAAGAATCATCAACCATAAGTTCAGAACCTGAATCGCTAAATTCTAAATTGGCATTAGTTCACATTTCCATTGCCTGCAGCTCAGTGAACAAATATCCTAATAAATATTAACTTTGCACGACCGAAGCAAACTTACTCTTCTCAGGAAGAATCATCTCCACCATGAATCATCTCTGTCCTTTCATTAGAATAATGTTCTCTCTACCTCCATCTTTTGCACTTTTTTTATTTTTGATTGCTTTCTGAGTTATGCGTGTACACCTGATGTGTGCGAGGCACCTTTAACACTCAGACTGAAGACAGATTGATGACTGTTATAGACTTAGACTTTCGTATCTGTTGCGACCTGTTCTGTCCTGATTATACGGGGCAGCTTGAATGCCGTTAGTGTGAGCGTTTATTTATTTCCCCTCAAGGGCACATTCTTCCTCTCCTCGCAGTGACTATAACCAAAGGCCATGCAGCAGATGTGCCAAACACAAACACCTGCACTCGTCCTCAGGTGGAGCATTACAGCTTTTAAATGAGTTTTCACACTGAATTTGTAAGTGAAGAAATGGAGCAAATGTGTGAACAATCTTATTTATAAACCTCAAAGTGTGTGAGTGAGTGGGTTTATAGTGCAATGTGCTTTAAAAAAGATCCTTGGCAACACTTTCCAGAAACATGAGTCATGCATTTGTTTTCATAATGCAATATAATACACTTTGATCTTAGTTATATACAGTATGTTCTTCTCAGGGAAAATTGATAATATTTGTCATTTCGTGGTTACACATGTATTAGTGATGTTTTTTAGTGTATATATAAATAAAATGAACATCTATTTCTTTGTTCCAAATGTTTATTTGTTTGTTTTTGTTCATTGGTTTTATTTAGTTAAGTGTGTATTTATTTGTTTATTTATTTGTTCAATTTTTTATTTATTAATTTTATTTATTAAAGCTTTTAATTTTTTTATTTAATTGTTTGTCTTTATGTGTTTATTTATTTTACATTTGTTATCTTGTGTCTTTGTCACCTTATTATTTTCAGTCTCATTTTAAATGAGAATGATTAGTTTAATATTCTTGCCACTTGAAGGGACCATAATCTATTTATAATCCATTTATAAAAAAAATGCACACACACACACACACACACACACACACACACACACACATTCCTGAGAACATGCCATTTTTGCATGCTGTATGACATTGAGAACCAATATAGGTATTACATAGATAAAAGGGAGATACATTCAGTGAAATCAAAGTGAGCCGAGTGAATGAAAGTGCTGCTCTTGTGTCTGAATTGTGGCACATATAGGCTGTAATTCTCTTCCTGCTGTGATGTTCTTGGTGGATTGTCATTGAGCATCAACCGAATGACAGCAGACATTAGAGTGGACAGCAGGTGCTTTAGATTGACAGTCCATGAAGCTGACAGCATATCTGTTTGCACATTTACGCTTTTCAGTAAATGATTCAAAGCAAAGCACAGAGCTTTTAAAATCATCCCGTTACACTGACCATCAGACTATGCTGTGTGTGTGTGTATGTGTTTCTCTTTCATCTTGTAATCTGTGTGTGTATGTGTGTGTTTAGTTTCTGCAGGACACTTTGGATGCCCTCTTCAACATTATGATGGAGAACTCGGACAGTGAGACCTTTGATACTCTTGTGTTTGATTCTCTGGTAAGATTCTCATGGCCTGTGCTTCAATAAATCTGCACAAATTAAAAAAATGTGTATATATAGGCTGTTGTATAATTGCTAATATTAATAGCCATGTTTCTTTCCAGTTTTGCCTACATTTATTTAATTTTAAAATATTATGATTAATTTAGGCAGCTGTAAATGTACATATTTTAACAGCTTAGTCTGAGTCTGATGTGTGTCATGTTCAATTAATGTTTTCATGTATTTAAAAAAAAAAGTTATCAGCACTTCTGTTAAACATTAATTGGATTCCGTTTTAAACAAGAACTGTATTTGTTTCTTGTTTAATATTTAATAATAATGGTTTAATACAAATGTTATTTTGCCTCAGTATTTAATATTTTATTTTTAAATAATAGGATTATTTTAGGCAGAGATATACAGTATTTGCGTAATCTAAACAGCTCAGTATGAGTATTGTGTGTTTTGTGCTGAATATCAGTACTTCTACTCAATAATAATTACAAGTAGAAATAATATTTTTCAAAAAATATTAAAAAGTAAAGTTTTAATATGCATGTTTAATTTTTTTATAAATGTCTCTTCTGGTTCTGAAAGGTCTTCATAATCGGACTGATCGCAGACAGGAAGTTCCATCATTTCAATCCTGTTCTGGAGACTTACATCCGCAAGCACTTCAGCGCCACCCTCGCCTACACGTGAGTGGCAAATTCTGCGTGTCTGTGTTAGTATGTGCCTTGTTTTGATTTGTAACACCTTGTGTGTGGATATGTTTTCAGAAAGCTGACAAAAGTCCTGAAGAACTACGTGGATAATGCGGAGAAGCTGACGGAGCAGCTGCTGAAAGCTCTGAAGGCTTTGGAGTACATCTTCAAGTTCATCGTGAGATCCCGCGTTCTCTTCAACCAGTATGTTCTTCCTTCACATTCAGATCTCTCATGTTTTGTTTTATTCATCTCACATCTGAGCTTTAAGCACATCATGCCTAAATCCGTGGAGTTGTGCTTGTAGTCTGAACCAGGGAAGGTTAGGTTAGGTTGACTTGCTTTGGCAGTAGGAACTTTGGGGGCTAGAAGCACCATTATCCATTGATGGCCATTAAGAAATATAAAAATGAAAATGTTGTGATTTATATTGGTGCTAGCAAAAAAAAAAAAAAAGTCTAAATAGAACTGGGATTGGGATATGGATTAGTGTGAATATTAAGTAATAAAAAAAACTAAAAAAATAATAGGTTTTTGTGATTAGTAATAATTTGTTGTTGTTGTTTGTTATTTTTAAATTATTTTTTATTTTACAGTGAAATATTACAATAATTATATTTTTTTGTTTAGTATTTTAGTACTTAATTAGTTATTTAGAAATTGTTTAGTCATTATTTTATTTATTATTATTATTATTATTATTATTATTTACATTTACATTTACTTTACATTTACATTTATGCATTCACTTACAAAAGAGGAACACAGCAATTTGTCAAAGAGCCAACAATATTCGTATTATAGCCAACAATATTAGTAACTTTATATCCATATTGATATATGATCTAAACTTTTTGGCCAAATTGTGCAGCCCAGCAAACAAGCAATTTTTTTCAAATTGCGCAGCTTTAATATTTGTATTGTGCTGTAGGTGATGAGTGGCAAAAAGCAAACAGATAATAACGGATAATAAATGTTGGCGTATCCATCATATACTCCAAAACGTATTTATTTTCCTCCTTCGTAATATGTGTTTCCCAGCCAGTAAGCTGCAGTTAAGGCTAAGAGATGTGACAGGTTGATTTAATGGGCAGATCTGAAATGCCACACCTTCATCAAACCGAAGTACCCTTGTTTCCTGACGGATGGAGGATGTGTTTGAGGCGGACAGGAAGTGGAATGGGCAGCGGTGCTGATTTAGGGAGACAGAGGACACGTTGAGTAATGACTCAGCCTAAATTAAGTTCAGCACTGGTGATTAGCTTGTTGTCTGCAGGTGAAGTATATGATGTTGTCTCTCAGGCTCAGTCCTTTAACTACCTGAACGCTCAGAGCGCCTGACACCGCAGAGCGCTGTGAGAGACACTAATGAGCAGAGTCTGATCTGATTGACTTCACTGCTCGCTCACAGAATCGACCTGCTGCCGGTGTTCACCAACTCATGCCCGACCTGACCGCACACGTCTCAGAGTCAGAGATCAGCAAGACAGGGATGCAGACTGCAATGGAAATGATGAGAAATATGGCCAAAAATAACAATTATCGTAAGTTTGAATAGCTATCAGTGTCAGACAGGAAAACTGTTGATACGCGGTTTCATCAAATGTTCATCAATTTCAAAGTTTACTGAAGCCCTGCTCAGGATCTTTCTATTGCATTATTCTCATTCAAATGATTCTGATGACTTTTAAACCAACATCCAAAAAAATTAAAAAGAATCATTCATATGTGTATGTGTATGTGTATCAGAATCAGAATTAGCTTTATTCGCCAGGTGTGCAAACACACGAGGAATTTGTTGTGGTTTTTTAATGTGTATGTGTATGTGTGTATGTATACATGTATGTCATACTACCATGATGAATTATTTTGCTCTTTTTTTTTATTTTGTGGTGAAATATGACCAAGAGTAACTTATGCAAAATACAATTTTTCTTATTTATTAAATATTTCTTGACAGTTTGTTTATTTTTATTTAATTATTTTTGCAAAATATAATTTCTTATTTTTCTGTTTGATTTTGTGGTTAAATAAGACCTCAACATTTCTTATAATTTATTTATTAATTTATTTTGATTGATTGATTGGTTGATTGACTGATTTTTGGTAAATATAATTTCTTATTTTTCGTTTGATTTTGGGGTTACATATGACCTTGGCATATTTAACCCCAACTGTTTTTAAACTGATTAAAAATAATACAATTCTACCATATCTCCCCTTTACTGTAGTAATTAATGGGTATAAAGCACTGGTCAGCTGGAGCGTGAAGAATATTTCGGTATTTTTGACGGGCCATTAGCTAAGCGTGTGTTTGTGTGTTGATGGAGGGCCGGTCTAATGTTGACACTCAGGATGAGGTCGAGAATGTCTGACCCTCACCGTAAGCAGAGCACAGAAAATCAGCTGGCGCTAATCTCATCAGCAAAGGCCGCCGGTGAGCGTTTAATGAAAGTGTGAGTGCAGGAATCCTCCCGATGTTTGTGTGGCTCTTTGGAGCGACGCCGAGACGGCCTGTCAGCTCTCTGCCCTTCAAACTAGATTACGAAGCAATTCATCAATCTGATCAGCCTGTAATCAGGAGCTAGTTTACAGGTGCCAGTGAACAGGTGGGAGTGTGTGTGTATGTGGTGTTTGAGATATTGTTTTTGATGTGGATTTATATGGCTCCAGCTAGTTTGATGTCATGGATCTGCTGCCTCTCTGATGATTTAGATGAAATGATTCTCGCCGCTCGAGCCCCTGATCATCTGCTGTTTGTGTGTTTTCATTCAGGCTCTACGAGAACAAAGGCGAGAGTGATTTCATGGAGTCCCTGAGGAATCTCTTTGCCTCGTTTAATGGCATGATGAACAGCAGTGCTGAAGGGACCGGCGGGGTGAAGGTGAGAACGCTCTAGGAACCGGTTTCTGATGAGCTGGATGTTTAATAGGGCATTAAGTTTAGAAAAACTAAAACTTTTACTCATCTGCTCCTGGTGTGACTTCATTTCACACATGCAACACAAAAGGAGATGTTTCTCAAAATGTTCATGCTGCTCTTTTACATAAAACAAAGGTCGACAAAGGACATCCGTATGATATATTCAAGTCGTATGATGCTTTATGAGAGGAAAAATCTGATTTAATTGCTATGAAAGCCCCTCTCAGAATGCATTTGCACACCCATATGTTCATAATTGTTGCTTCTTAATCAGTTATGAGATATGACAAGCAATGAAATTTGGCATAATTTGTCAAACATGACATAGTTTTGCAAAGCTCAAAACTGCCCACTTAGACAGCAAGAGAAACTCTACTTAAGAGAAATCATACTATAGTTTTAGTTTTTATGTGCCATTTAGGGCCATAAAATGTGTAACCTTTCTATGTCTCTAAGAATAGTTAATACTGATTAAATAATACTGACTTTCATTGAAATGAATAAAGAGTCAGAACACAACTAATGGAATATACAGTTGCTGTCATTAATAATTTGTTTAATGTTAATCTATAGTCTGTTGACTTACTCTTGCGTCTTAAAATTCAGGATCTTTCATAGATTTAATGCTACTAACCTGGCTAATTTTGGCAAATTTAGTGACTAGGTCTTCAATATTACTCATTTATCTGACATATGTCTTTATGCAGTATATTTGAATATGTAATATGAATGAGATTTGAGAGCAAACAATTTTGGTTTGTTTCTCACATCAAGGACACTTTTTTAAAAATACACTACCATTTAAAAATTTTGGATCAGTGAGATTGGTTGATTGCTTGAAGAAATTAATGCTTTTATTCATCAGGGACGCTTAAAATTGGTCAAAAGTGACATAACATTTATAATGTTACAAAAGATTATATTTCAAATAAATGCTGTTCTGTTCATCAATTCTAATATAAATGTATCATGGTTTCTGCAAAAATATGAAGCAGCACAACTGTTTTCAACATTGATAATAATCAGAAATGTTTCTTCTGAAGGATCATGTGACACTGAAGACTGGAGTAATGATGTTGAAAATTCAGCTTTGCATGACAGGAATAAATTATGTTTTAAAATATATTAAAATAGAAAACAGTTATTTTAAATTATAATAATATTTCACAATTTTACTATTTCTACTGTATTTTTGAGCAGATAAATGCAGCCTTGATGAGCATAAGAGACATCTTTGAAAAACATTATAAAATTAAACCGAAACCAAATTTTTGAAGGACAGTGTACACTTTCATTGCGTAGAATAGAGAAAATGATGACAGCAAAATGTGTATCTGGAGGCTCTGTATCTCAGGACGTTTCTTCTGTAGGACATGAATATGTATGTTTCTGTCTTTCATGTGTTGAAGTGTGTGTTTGTGTGTCTCTTTCGTCACCTGAGCTCCTCTTCTGTCCACCGTGGCTCTGGCTTCGCCCTCTTTTTAGCTTCTCCTCAAGGTACTCTATCTGTCCTCCTCTCCTTCCATCTGTTTCTCTGCTCCTCCTCCATTAGTGCAGTTATTTATTTATTTTTTGTCACTGACCTTTCCTGTCACTCCTTTTTTGCATTAACACACCTCTGTTCCATCACACACATGCTCAGCGGCATCAGGCCTTGTGGACGGGTCGTGAGCCGGCCTGGAGCGATGCAGGTCTGCCGCTGGCTCAGATCTTAGTGGTTTTGTCAGAAAATTAAAAATTGATTTTAAGATGCACTGTCAAGGGAAGGAATGCGCTTTTCTCTCCACTGGCCTTGTTGCAACAGGAAAGCTAGAGACGACGTGAGTGAAACGGCACGTCAGCTTGAAGTACATTGTGTTCACATGCCCTCACACTTACTATTTAAACAGTATGACAGTTTCAGCTTGTGCTGGGCTGTTTTTACTGCACATGTCGGGTTTGTTTTTCTCTTTTCTGCTTTGTTGTGTTGTTTTAGGGGGAAATGAAGCTAAAGTGTGTCATTTGTTCAGCACTAATGTTAACAAACTAAATTGAAAATGACAGCTGTTTTCAGACAGCATTTGGTTGAAACGAAGAAGCATATTTAAATTTAACAACATTGGATCCACCATTGATGTGACATTAGCACTGGCCTGTTTCTATCTATCTATCTATCTATCTATCTATCTATCTACACATACATACATGCATACATACATACATACATATATGGGTCTTGGTATTAGTATCATCATCCATCTTATCAGTTCTTAGCCATAACTTTTTGTTTCCTTGCGTTGCTTGTGCGGTCCTTTGAAAATGTGTAATTGTGATCCAAACGCTCCAGCATCCTAAAATGTGGGCAGCCGGTGTGATGTATTCCAGCAAAGTGGCAAACTTTCTGTGAAGTCACTGCTGTAAAACTCTCGGCCTGACTGGTGTGTTACAATTTCAAAACACATCAGATCAAAAGCAAGTTACGGCCTCAGATATTCCCTTTTTTAGTAAACACTTGAACTCCAACACCTCATTTCCCAGCGAACTCTCAGGTTAAATCAGACGCTATGTGGGCTGCTGGGAAGAGAATATTTATCAAATGGGAAACTTCATAACCCATCCATCACTGCCTGTGTTGACTCTTGGTTCACACCGCTTTCAGATGCTTTCTTTTTTCTTTTAAATGATTTCAAAGTACGTCAGAATTCGACACCAGGATGAGGATCAAAAGCCGCAAGGAGCCGCTTTAAATCCAGATCTGTAAACTCTCAGGACTCGCACATCTTCAGGTGTGACTAGAATAAAATCAGACATTTATCAGCTGAATAGCAGTAAACCTGTTTTACAAAGAAGCTGTGAGTTGAGTTTTTACTTAAACAAGGTTTTAAAGCTTCCCGACGTTTTGCTGTTGTTGATCCTGGAACAAGATTCCTGTCAAACTCTATCAAAGACAATAGAAACTACCCATAAAAACCAGAAGGTTGTTGAAGCCCCAACCCTAAAATTTGATTGAATATTGTTCTTGGAAAATCAGGTGAGGTCACCAAGATCAACATCCTTGTAAGTACTGGAAGAGCCAAACAGATTTATACCAACTGGAGAAACCGATCGGTAGACATTCCCATTCTGCATCAAATTCTGCTGAGATCTGCTTGTATAGTGATCGATGTGTTTTAGATTGACAGGTGTCAACACTGACCTGTCACTCTCACAGATTCTGGACATTTGACTAGTTTCATAGAGGAAATGTATTTATTTATTTAACATTCTGAAACTTTATTATTTTTTTTTAATTAATTTATTTTTACAGACATTTTTTTTTCAGTATGAAACTATTTTTTTTTTTAAACCGGCTGTATTTCACATTCTGAAACTTGTTTGTTTGTATTTATGTATTATTAATTGTTTGTTTGGTTTTATTTATTTATTATTTAGACATTGTATTTAACATTCTTAAACTTTAGATGTTTGTTTTCATTTATTCATTTTTTTGACATTTTATTTTACATACTGAAAATGTATTATTTTTTTTACAGACTATGTATTTCACTTTCAGATGAACTTTAGTTGGACATTTATTTATTTATATTTCAGGCAATTAACAATTTCTGTTGTTTGTTGTGCTCTATTTATTTATTTATTTATTTATTTATTTATATCATTGCATTGCATTATGATAAGTGTTAGTTGCTTGTTTGGACCATTTGTTGGTTGAGAGTAAGTTAGAGCTCAGATTTCTAGATGAGCGTTTGTCAGTTTGTCAAACACGCGTGTTCATGGCTCATTGATCATCTGTGCTCTCTTTATTGATCGGGGTGTTGGAGAGTATTTTAGTATTTGTGTTTTATGACCATCTTGAGGTTCATCTTTCGCTCCTCAGGCCATTCAGCACAGCTGGATTAGCTCCGAGCGCAGAGGGACTGATGAGAAATATCAGCAGCCAGTGTCTCCGATGATCATCAGATGAGGCTCTTGACACCTTCATGTCGTTTCTTAAACAATGTGAAGTCACTCCGATTCCTCATTGTTCATCCTTACAGAGTTTGGACAGCACAATTCAGCAGAAATTAACACAATCCTCTAAAATGCTTTTTTATGCTGGCTAACTCTGATTTTCCCCCTCTTTTTCCATTTATGTAACATGTTTTAAAGGATTTTTAGAGCATTGATCATGCTAATATATATTTTTTGTGAATTCTAGGGTGCTGCACTGAAATACGTCCCGACTATCGTCAATGATCTGAAACTGGTCTTTGATCCAAAGGAGCTCAGGTGAGTTTATCTTTATCTTTATCTTTATCTTTTTTGAATAAAGACCTTTATTAACTGTTGTTGTTAGTAGCCTGTTTTAATACTGCATGTTTGCACACAGGCAAAAGTAAATAATGAGTTTAAAGAAAAGTGAGTGTTTTGCAGTGTTGTGTATTTGAAGAATGAGCAACAAATTGAAAACCTTTTTATTTTATTTTGTTTATTTTAATTTTGGTTTCATTTCATTATTTTATTTGAATTGTATTTTATTTTTATTTTTATAATCATATGAGTGAATGTCTATGAGTTTTAAACACAAAATTTCACTTCTGAAATAAATACATTTAAATAAATTAATAAACACAAACAATCAAATGATATTGTTGTCCATTTTGCCTCAACCTTTTAAGTTGAAATGTGGGTGTCTCCCGGCTATTAATTGTATTTAGTTTTTACTTTATATTGTATTGTATTTTTTATTTTTATTTTTGTATTTTTTATAAACATATCAGAATGTCTTTATGATATTAAAACAAAAAAATTATTTCTGAAATAAATAAATTAGGCACTAATGAGAGATATATATATATATATATTTCAATTTTTTTTAGTTGAAAGGTTTAATGTCATCTGGCTAGTAACTGTATCGGCTTAGAATTACCCTTATTTTACTTTTAGTTTTTTACTTATACAATATCGCTCTGCTCAATATTGCCGCTCATCCTGTCTCTCTCTCCTCATGTCTCCCTGCCTGTCCCATCTCACTCTCCTTGTCTCTCTCTCTGTCCTCATCCTGTCTGTTGTCTGTTTTCCACATGCTGTGTCTCTCACAAACAAAAACCAATATTGTTATCCTCACCCTGTCTCTCTTTCCCCATGTCTCTCTCTCTCGTCTGTCTCTCCTCATGCCTTTCATCTCCTCCCGTGTCTCTCCTCTTGTGTCTGTCTCCATCTAAGTGACTGAGAGGCTGCTAATGAAATCAGGTCTGAGTAGTGGAGTTCTTCAGTCTGATGCTCCTCACACACGTTTCAAACACTGGATCCGATCATCATTAACATCTTTCTTCCTGATGGACTTTTTTTCGTGTGTCATTACCGTTACCGTGTCGCTTTGCCGCTCGAGTCTTTCTCATACGGTTTAGATTCAACACACAATCAGCGCAAAGTGATGCGGCGGTCGGTCACTCGCCCATCCCGTCTGTTGGTCTGGATAATGCGTTCCTCCCTGAGTGGCATTATAATGGAGTTAGGCGGCTCTTGTGATGGCTACATTTACTGCACACACACACACGGTGAGAGATGATGGCATGAATCCTGCTGCTTCTCAGAAGTTTAGCTGACGACGGCCTTTCCTCACCAAACCAATTTTCCTAGACGTGACATTTGTAACAGCGGGATTCTTGTTAGATTCCCTGAATAATTTGTGTTCTTGTTGTGTTGGCTGCAGATGTTGCTGTATAAGTGATGTTTCACACTGAGAGCTGTTGAATGCTTGTGTGCATGCATATAAACTAGTTACAGCCAAGAACAGCTAGTGGTCAGCTGATATGGGTTGGTCAGTAGCTGATGGTGTATTTAACAGCTGGTTGAGAGAATAAACCTGGCCTCTTTCCCTTTTCCCATTTTCCTTTTGTCTCGCCTTTCATTTTCTGTTTCTTTCACTTTTTCTTTTCATTTGCTTTTCTTTTACATTTCCCTTTGCTTTCCACCTCCTTTCCTCCTTCACCTTTCTCTTTCCGTTTGCTTTCCTTCCTGTTTACATTCCTATGATTACAGTAATGGGTAAAAGGCACTGTTAGACATGGCAAGCATCACATAATCTCTTTTTATTTTATTTTATTATTATTTTTTTTTCACAGTTTAATATGCAGAGACAAAAGTAAGGAAGTCTGGTGTATCTGTTGATTCTCCCAAAAAGTAAAACCACAGATTCTGACTTTTGTTTGCCTGACCAATGATGGAAGAGCCAGTTCAGGTGCTTCAGGAAATGTGTTTTGCACTTTTGACTATCGTTGAGGACAGAAAAAAATGACTGGAGGCCTGGTTAGCACACACTGAGTTATCATTGTGCTGTTTGCTCAGAGTTCATTGTGACAGAAGTGTGTTTGCCCAGCAGAGAGGTCGCGGGTTCCACACACACACACACACACAGACCAAACAAACGCTGAATGAGGCCATCTCTGAATTCTGTCATTGTCTGCCAGACCGCTCTCATCCCGCTTTCTTCAAGTGCCAGTTCTTTCCACAAAAAGAGCCGCTGCTCTCCTGTTGTGCCCTGGGCTCGAGTGTGTGTGTGTTGAGATGAGGACAGAGAGGTGTAGCACTTAGCATGTTTTAGAAATGAGCTGTCACTTCTACAGCAAGTAGAGATGAGAAGAGAGGCATGCGCAAACACTCTCACACACACACCTGTTAGTGTTAACTAAGTTCTAGTTGTGCAGTTAAAAGCAGTGCTGACCCTCTCTCTCTCTCTCTCTCTCTCTCTCTCTCTCTCTC